GTTGATAAATATGACATTTGACCAGTTTTGTTACACAAATACTCCTACGATCACGGGCAAAAATATTGGCTACAATATGTAATTTTTTTTTTGCCATATATACGTTTTATCGGTCCACTTGCAAAATATTCGCATTCGCAAAATATTCGCATTGATTATTGCGAATGCGAAAGCGAATGCGAATGTTAAAATTAATGCGGAAGTTCCGCAGTTGCGAATGCGAATATTCGCAACAACCCTGATTCTAAGTTTAAACTGGCACTGAAAAACTGGCCCTAAGGCAACGCTATACTTTTTACTAAAGGAGTTTTTATATACCAGCCAATTTTGTCGTACACTCTTTGCTTAATAGGTAGTTATTATCCGACACAGTATGTACCTACCTACCTACATACAGTGCCGAACAGAAGTATTGGCACAGTGAATTTTTCGCAACATACGCAAAGTTTTTTATTCTAAGTTATTTTACGATAATTTTTTATAAAAATATTGTTCATTCTACAACTGAAAACGTAATAATGAAATCTCTAAACTTTGTGCAAAACTCAGGACAATTCATTAAATTTGCACACTAACTTGCAACTTTTTATTCAGATTTTCTAGAAAAATTCTAAGTATGCAGTTTTATAGCCCATTCAAATTTACATACGTACTATAAAAATAACAAAGAAAATATATATATTTTTTGGAATTATTAATCCAGTTTCTAAACTTGTATGATTTTTGGTAATTTTTTTTCAGGCAAGTTCTTCCATATAAAGTACATATATTCGACTATTATTTGTTGTATGGAGAAAATGAACAACACCTTCCACTAAAAAATTTGCCAAAAATCAACACGATTTTCTAGCGACTTCAAACTTGCTCTTTGTTATACTAAATTTGAATGGGCTATGAAACTGCGTACGTAGATCTAGAAAATCTGAATAAAAAGTTGCAAATTAGTGTGAAAATTTAACGAATTTTCCTGAGTTTTGCACAAAGTTTAGAGATTTTATTTTTATGTTTTTTGGTGTAAAATGAACCATATTTCTATAAAAAATAATCGAAATTAAATTAGAATAAAAAACTTTGCGAAATTCTCTGCGCCAATACTTTTGTTCGTCACTGTATGTATGTATGTATGTATGTATGTACATAATATGATTAATCAATTTGAATAATAGCCCACAATCTTGAATTTACGTACACACTTTTTAATTCGCATACACTCCACCTGCCTGTGCTTATTGAGCCTGGGTTTGTTATTGTAATTTTACGCTGGATACAATTTTTTTCGTATCTGCTAATCAGTTTCAGATAAAAATTTTTTTTCCCTTTAAGTTTATTACTATTATTCACACTTGGCGTTCTATCTTCATTAACACGTATGTACGGCGCTGCCGACAGCGGACGTAGACGTCAACTTTGACGCTGGCATCCGTTGTTTAGGTCTACTACACGCATTTGGTAATCAGTTATTAAACGTTTTCACATAATCATGTTAAGTGGTTCAATTATAGAGGTGTGTAGTATGCGTAGAACATGAACCTGATTTGGTTTTAACTTTATTATAACTGATAAGAATGCTGCAAAAATACCTTTAGCGTTTCTTAATCTAGGTATAAGCGCCATAGTGCCACCCAATACGTATATTTTTTTTTTTTTTATTGTCGTTATGATTTGCTGGAAACCGCACAACATCGGAAAGAGCATAAATATCTGAGGAGGACGGAATGTGGGCCTAGAATGGCAAAGAATCACTACAGTTTTTACTGTTGGGATCATTCTGGTTACGGCAGAAGCGTTCGAGAATGTCTCGATGCAAGCTTTAACATATTGTACCACCTAGTGGGTCTTATTGTGCCCTCCATTCTTCACAGCACATCTTGTAGTGCTATTGTCTCTGCAAAAAGGGTAACTGGATAAGCAACAAGTTACGCTGCAGAAAGAAATAGTAGTTATGTAAATGGCTTATGCGGTTGGCTTTGGGTAGGCACCCTCATAATTCCCAATTTTTGTAAATCAGGGAGTGTAGTCTCGCCACTGATACCAGCCAACAAAGGGAGCCTTATCGCCCGATAACTCTCTTTTCCCCAGTTGTGAAGACACTTGAGGCCATGCTGCTCCCGTAACACCCAGGTAGATTGCGGCTTTAACCCTAGAAACACATTTTTCGTCGAATCTATGACGTTTATTTACATTAGGCGATTTTTGACTGGCGATAATCGCATGCAAAAGTTGACTTGCTCTCTACTTTGAGGCAAGCGATATTTGAATCACTAAGGCCATAAAATAACAAAAACAAATAACTTAAGGTAGGTCGAGCATACCTAAAAGTTAAACATTCTAAAAATAGAATAACAAAAACCAACAACCACATGGTCAAGTGTGAATAGCAGCGGAATAGCTGCGCTTGATTGTGTTGGCTTAACAAATGAAAAAGTGGGGAAAAGCAACGACAATTTACAAAGCGAACTTAGCCCAGTGCGTAGGCAACTGGCTGAGTCAGTACTGAAAGAAGTTTGATGAGGAAATGTGGTGATTTCCGAAATAGCTATCACTTCTACCATTTGTTCAAGTTATTGTTGCTTTTCCACAATAAGTTTTTCATTAAAAACGGCCTCAAGCTCAATAAAAATTGTTGAATATAATTATAAGGCCATAAAATAACAAAAACAAAATTAAAAAAAAATAATAACTAGAAGTAAGCAAATGAGCATTGTCCTATTTAAGTGAATGGGAGTGTATTTACAGTATCCGTCAATACAATAGCGTCCCCATTTCAAAGTGATATATGTAGTTTGCCACTCATGTTCATTTATTTATAATCTCGATATTTATGTATATGTGATCTCAAGTGTAAAACTTTTTGGAAAATTGCAATCAATTTTCACCCAAATTTCGAACTTTTTAGACTTTTTTTAACCGACTTCCAAAAAGGAGGAAGTTATCAGTTCGTCGGAATATTTTATTTTTTTTTTAATTTTTAATTTTTTTTTTTAATTTTTTTATTTTTTTTTATTATTTTTTAATTATTAACCGACTTCCAAAGAAGGAGGAGGTTATCAGTTCGTCGGAATAATTTTTTATTTTTTTTTTTATGTATGTTACCGCATAACTTTGGACCACGTCAACCGATAATTCTTTTTGCATCGGAAAGGTAGTGTCTCAGAGGTGGTCCCATACTAATCTGGTTTAGATCCGATCATTGGATCATATATATATATATATATATATATGTATATATTTTTATATGAGAATTGAAGTCGGTTTTGTGTTTGCATGAAAATTACTTGTTGAGTACACACTTATTTGTAGTCCATTTAATTTAAGTCTAATATTGTGCAAGTTTCAAGTCACTAAAAATTACCGTTGATTTTTTTTTTAATTTTTTCGCCGAAGGTGTTGCGGGTTTCTTCCAAAAAAATCTAAAAAATCAATGGTAATTTTAAGTGACTTGAAACTTGCACTTTGTTTTACTTAAATTGAATGTGCTACAAAACTGCATACTCAAAAATTTTCTAGAAAAAAGTTGAAAATTTGGATGAATTTTTTGCATTTTTGTAAACTTTAATAAAGCGTGAAACTCTGATTTATGTTATAGAAGGAACTTTATTTTCATAAATAATTAATGCAAAAAATGGTTCATGAAAATGTAATGTGTAACGATTTTCCGTCATCCCTTGTCAAATTTGGTTTGGAGACAAACCGGTTTCGGTGTTGTGCCATCTTCAGTGTTATTTTTCGTTCTGAATAGTTTCTGTATATCTGTCACTATTCATAGCCGTGTTAAATCGTCGTTTGTTCATAGTTAGGTACGTCTCAGCGGATTATATTCTTTCGTTCAACCAGTAGTTTCAGTTCTGTGTGTACATCCTCAGGTATAAATTAGCTGCTCACCTCTTTTTTGATTAATTGTTGCATGGATTCGCAGGTATGGAAAAATCAGTTATTTTCTTTCTCTTTGTTTCTGTAGTTTGGACCTGCATTTCATTGTTTATGGTAGTTGCAGGGTTTCTGTCTTGTTTTGCGTATAGTAGCCTGAGTGGTTCGAATAATATATCAGATGCGGTGTTTATTTGCTCATATATTATTTTTCCGACGAACGTCTTTTGTTTTGTATATCTCCATATTCTCTAATACGTTTAGGCGTTGTCCTTTATGCTGTACATGGAGAACTTTGGCTGTCTTTCCTATTTTCATTGGCGCACAATGGTTTTCTGCCATATGGTTTGCGAAGTTCGATTCCGGGGTGGTAGAAGGTTTTAGCATTTTTTTGTTGTAGTCCCTTATATGCTCACGATATCTTGTTTTTATCTTGCGCCCTGTTTGTCCTATGTAACTATGTTGACATTCGCAAGTCAACTTATATACACCTTGCTTGTCTAGTGGGTCTTCCCACCCAAGCCTTTTCATTATTTTCCTTCTTAATTGATTTCTTCGTTTTTGTTTCTCTTCTTATCTTGTTTACTAGGCCCTTTCTGTATCCGTTATTTTCCGCGATTGCGTATATCGTATTAAGTTCTTTGCTGTAAGCTTCTTTTTCCAATGGGGTTCGTTTAAGCCTGGTTATCCGAAATCGCATTTGTTGGTAACCTTATTTGTTTTAATTGTTATGTCCAAATAGTTTACTTTGCCTTCGTTTTCCTTATCCATAGAGAAATTTATATTCGTGTGTTGGTCATTGAGATAGCCTAGAATTTGTTCTTCCTTGTCTCCCGTTACAAGACATATGATGTCATCGACGTATCTTGCGTAGAACTTTACTCCCAAGCTTGTTGTCAGCTCCGTCATATACTTTTCCTCTAAATGTTGCATGAACACTTCTATTAAAATTGCAGATGTGGGATTACCCATCCCTAGCCCGTTAGTTTATCTATATATTTTGTTATTAAACTTGAAGTAGTTTTGGTCTAGAGTTACCATCAATGTGTTCACGATTTCCGTTGCTACGTTCTTGTCTGTTTTTTCTATTAAAGTTTTAGTCAAGATGGTAATTGTTTTTGCCGTTGGTATCGATGGGTAAAGATCCTTAACATCAAATGATACAAATTTCGCATCTTTGGGTATTTCTAGCGATTTCATCCATTCAATTAACTCCGCTGTATTCGTAATTGTGTATTTATTGTGCAGTTCCAGTTTTTCTTTCAGCAACGATTTTAGATATTTCGATAGTTTGTTCATGAAAATAATTGAGAATATTATATTAAATAGAACAAGGTGTGCACTTTAATTTGTCGCCCAGTGTATGTATGCAGTTAATTTGTATGCCTCTTGCTGAGGAGATATACATATGTGTGTACATTTAAAAAATTTTAATTGAATTAAATTTGTATGTATTAAATGAGTTTAATAGCCGTATTTACTCGCTGTTAATTCATTGCTTCATTGAGAATTCCAAACTTTATTTGGTGCTGCAAATGTTTGCCGATTCAATGAAATGTCATTTTCTGTTATTTTGATCAGCTATAAATTTAATGGAAATCACCTACGCTCATACATCTGTTAGCATCATTAATATATGTGACTGAAACAAATGACCACGTGTTGATTTTTTTTTTTAAATATTCGTAATGGTTTTCGAGCTAAATTTTCTTTGTTATTTTTCTATAAACTTACCGTCCAAGCTTTAACCAAAACCAAATAAATCACAGTTTCAAACTTTATACAAAATTTGGGAAAATTCAACAAATTTTCATCAAAATTTAAACTTTTTAATATAAATCTCTAGAACATTTTTGGGTATGCAGTTTTATAGTCAAATGAAGTGCAAGTTTCAAACGGCTAAAAAATCGCCCATCCAATTTTAGTATCATAAAGTGCCAGTTTCAAGTGGGCTTTTCAGCTAATCCCATTGGGGGTCCTTTACTTAAATTGAGCAGCAATTGTGAATAAGCTGTAATGTGTAGTACTGATAGAATCCTGTTTTAACGTAAATCTCTTTTCTGATCTTACAGACACCTCCACTACAGTCGACTGCACGATCAGTTCGGAGAGTAAAGGACAAGAGTGTTTGGACAATGTCTGCCAGCGATTGAATCTACAAGAACCCGAGTTTTTTGGCCTACGCTATGTGGTCAAGGGTAAAGAAGACGAATTGAAATGGATTGATTTGGAACGGTCGCTTAGCAGGCAGCTGGAAAAATATGCGGCGAGTACGAAAATTTATCTACGCGTGCGTCACTATGTTGATCCATCGCGGCGAGACGATTTGACGCGCTACTACTATTTTCTGCAATTGAAGAGTGACATCTATGAGGGAAAAATCATCTGCGATATACGCACCGCCATTTTATTAGCGCTCTATTGTCGACAGGCCGAGTATGATAGTCATCAGAATGACAAACAGACAAAGGATTATCTGAAAAAGTCACTTGTATTGCCGAAAAATTTACAAGGTATGTAGAAGATGACTGCAAGAAAGTAAATACAAAGTCAATATTAGTAGTATTGGGTTATGCTCTGCTATGTTACGTTATGTTATGTTATGTTATGTTATGTTATGTTATGTTATGCTATGCTGTGTTATGCTATGCTGTGTTATGCTACTTTATTTTATGCTGCGTTATGATATGCTAGATTGTGTTATTTTATGCTATGCTAGGTTATTTTATGTTATGTTATGTTACGTTATGTCATATTGTGTAACGCTATATTAGATTATGTTAACTTCATTTCTTTCTTCTTTATCCAAAATAAAGTTTCGCTCCCCTTCCAGGTCTAGCCAACGATGATAACCTCCTTGACAGCCTCATTATGGAAGTGCTGCAACAGAACGCAGGCATCCAGCATCTTCAGCAGTCTCAGGCCGAGGAGATGTACATACAGTGCTGTCAACAGTTGGATGGCTATGGCGAGGAGCGCTTTCAAGCAAAAGACACACTGGGTAATGATTTGCTGCTTGGGCTGGCTATCAATGGCATGGTTGTGATGGCTGACAATGGCCGTCAGTATTTCCCGTGGAAAGAGTCTCAAACGGTTTCTATCGACAAACGTACCATAAAAATTGAGCAAAATAAGGCCGATGGCTCCATTGTGGGCTCATTTATTTTTCCCGATGCCGATACTGCACGATACTTCTGGAAGTTATGCATAACGCAGCATAAATTCTTTAAACGCTACATCGATGAGGAGTCTGTCTCGTCTATGGGTGATGCAGAGAGTGCAAATGGCAATTCGCTGAGCGTGGGCGGCGGCGGTGGTGGTGGTGGTGTTGGCGTTGGCGTGTCTGGTATTAGTAGTGGTGTATTAGCTGGCACAATGGATGCTTATGCCTATGGTGACTTCAATGATTCACGCGAAGATTTGCTACTCGAGCAACAACAACGTGCCATTTACAATCCAAATGCGTTAACGAGTGGCGGTGGTGGTGGTGGTGGCGCGCTTACAGCTGTTAATCCGGAATTCATGTCAGCGCCAGCTCTACATCATGGCTTACTCGCCTCCACGCATGGTTCTAATGCGTTAATGTCATCCAATATTTCATTAGCTGCCAGCCATCAGTCTGGTGGTGGTGGCGGTGGTGGAGGAGGAGGAGGTGTTGGCGGTGTCGGCGGTGCCGGGCCGAATGGCGCCATGCATTCGCATAGCGTGGGCGCTATAGCGCCTAGTTGGTTAACGAAAGTGAGTCAGATATTTTTGTAACATGCTGTAGACTAAAATTAGTATTTACACGTTCGTTTTTCCTTTAGGAATATGGCCACGATTATGCCTCGACGCAGCACTTGGCGAATAGCATGTTGGACACACGCCTGCAGCAAAGCAGCTCCTGCCTGGATTTAAGCAATAATAACGGTACTAATGTCAGCGCTGGCAGCACTTTTCACAGCAGCAGCAACAACATTGTGCACGGTCATCTGGGTGGCAGTGTAACGAATAACAGCAGCAACGTCGCCTTGCACAGTGCTGACGCACATGAGCGCGAACGATTGAAAGCCATGTTGCCCACTTATCGGCCTGCACCCGATTACGAGACTGCCGTGCAATTGAAATATCGTTCTCCCTCCAGCGAATTGCATCATTCACAAATGAACAATTATGCTAACTATCAACCGCAACTGGCATCAAGTGCCTCTGCTGTAGCTATGAGCGCGACGCCTGCAGCCAGCGGTGCCATTTACTACGCGGGCTCACAGCCTGATGTACACAATGCGTCAGCAATGTATGGCGATGGCGTGTTGCTCAGTCAATTAGCATCGCATCGTTACCCTGATGTCGCGCAGCCAGCAGCTGCAATGCATGCACAACATCATCACCTAACCGCAGCGGGTGTGACAATGTCACCTGGTGGCCATAGCAACAGCACCAGCGGCGGAGGCGCATATATTGATTTAGGACATCGCCTGCAATTGGTGCGTAGTAAACCGCCACCGCCTTATCCGGTCAACCGTTTGAATTCTTCATCAACACCTGACTTGGCGGTGGCTTCACATCGGCCGCTGATGGGCTACCGCGCTTATGTGTCTGGCTCCTCGCCGGATTTGGTTTCGAATCGAAATTTGATTAATTCACATTATCCATACGGCAGTACTGTCGGCAGCAGCGTCGGCGTGGCACAAGCATCAGGTGGTGCAGCGGCTACAAATCATGCGTTGATTCATACTCATTCCTCCTACATGGGTGGCGGACACATGGGCCATTCGCAGTCTTATTTGCCGCATGGTACTTTCGAGAACTTGAATATGATCGAGGAACAGCCATCTATACTGTCGCAGTTGCGGCAGGATTATTTATTTTTGCCACATAGTACACAAAGCTACAACGAACACACTTCACCAACTCTCAACAGCAGCGCCAACAACAACGTTTACCGTCCAACACCAACACAAGTGCAAACTCAGCAGCAGCAGCCACCACTGCCACAGGCGGCGCAATCACAAACTCGTCCACAGCAGCACTTGCAAACGAACACTTCTGCTTCATTATCGCATCGCAACACTTTAAACGGCTCAGCCGAACCGATTTACGAGAATGTGCCACATGCGCGCTACGTGGCTGCAGAGCCAACGGTTCAACGCAATTTGGAGCAGCGCTCCTCAGGGTCTTCGGCGACCAGTGAAGCGATGCGTAACCGTACGGCTTCAATACAATCAGCCCCAGGTGGCATGCACGGCCAGCCACAGCAGCAAATGCCGCCGGTACCTGCTGTGCGCCATCATCATCACCAACATCAGCAGCAACAACAGCAACAACAACAACAACAACAACAACAACAACAACAACAACAACAACAACA